TGTGTGTGTGTATGTTTGTGTGTGTGTGTGTGTGTGTGTTCGGGTATTTCAACTCGCCAACCACGCAAGCTTTGGGGCTGGAATTTTGCCAGTATGTTCCGCAGCCAATTGCCACCCCAGGACCATGGCATCAATTCTCACGTACGTCTGGGCCCCGCTTATGAGCACGTGAAAGTTTCGGCGGGAAAACTGATAACTTGGGAGTAAGAAAAGCTAGAGAGCTGAAATCTTAGGGTAATGTTCCCTACCTGTGTGTGACAAAAAGATTTCAAATTCAGCTGCCCAGGACTGCCCGGGGCTAAAGTACGGGCAAGTGAAAATTATGGCGGGAAAATTCATAACTCGAGAATGAGGAAAGCTAGAAAGTTGAAACTTTGGGAGAATATTCCCTACTCACGCACGACCAAAAGATTTCAAACTTAGCTCCTTAGGGCCGCCCGGGGCTTACGTACGGGCGCGTGAAAAGTTTGGCGCGGAAACTACTAACCAGGAAACGGAAAACGCGGAAACTTTGGGGCAATATTCCCTACTCATGTACGAGCAAAATCAGATGTTTGCAAGCGCCCGGGCTCATGTACGAGCGCGTGAAAATTTTGGCGCGAAAATTACTAACCCGGAAGCGGGAAAAGCTAGAAAGCTGAAACTTTAGGGTAATGTTCCCTACTCATGTGTGACCAAAAGATCTCAAATTTAGTTCCTCTAGTGCGGCCTTTTTTGCGGATCAGCAACTTTCCATTTGTCGGATCACTGAAGTCGACATCTACAACTGGCATACCAAACAGTTGCACAATTAACTTTCTGAACTTCGAGGGCGAGTATGTCACAGGATTAGCTACTGTGATCCCTTGCGATCTTGCTACAGCACGAAAGTGCTAAAACGCGTAATCGCACCGGCCCACCTGGTGCGTTCCAGCCCTGGGTACGTTTTTGCTTATATGTGAGTGCAAAAACGCATATTGGCAAGAGGTTTTCTGTGCGTGTGTGTGTGTGTGTTTGTGTCTGTATGTTCGCACTTTTTGTCATCCACTTTCAACTCGCGAACCAGAAAAACTAGGAAGCTGAAACTTCAAGGGTATGTACCCACTGCCACTTCGCCCCTCCTGTTTTTATATAATCACCCGTGTACGCCTGGGTCCTTCGGGAAGCAGACAAGGTAAGGAGCTGAAACTTTGTAGGGATATTCTCTGTACACATGTGAACTAAAGATTTCAAATTCAGCGCCTAGGTATTTGTGGTTCTTATGTACGAGCACGTAAAGGATTTGGCGGGGAAAATGCTGACTCGGCAACCAGAAAGGCTGGAAGGTTGAAATATTAAGCGTATTCCTTGTCCGTTCACATACAACTTAAAGATTTCAGATTCGGCGCTCGGTACGCGTGCTACTCATGTACGGGCATGTGAAAGTTTTGGCGGGAAAATTACTAACTCGGGAGCCAGGAAAGCTAAAAAGCTAAATTCTAGAATAATGTTCCCTGTCCAAGTACAACTTAAATATTTCAAACTCACCCTCCGGTTTTCCATGGTTCTCATGTACAGGCGTTTAAAAGTTTTG